GTCCTGAGAATTCTGTACCAATCCTTGGGTCCTGTGGTCCTGCCCTGAACTGAAAAGAGATCTCACAAATAGAAATGGGCCAGTCTATAGCAACTGGCTGATAGCTATTTCCTGCTTTTGGATAATAAAGTGCTTTTGCTTTAATTAGTTACTATTTAGCAGGGAACTCTAAGGAAAGGTAAACACCTCTTTCCTCCTCCCACTACTGTACTTCCCCACGAGTTAAACATGAGATTCATCTAGATCAACATCCGTCTCCCCAAGCTCCACGTGCGTGAAGCTGAAGTGAGTGGCCAGCAGAGGATTCTCCATGCCGTTGTCCTCGCTGATGTGCAGGACAGTGTCCCCATGCTGCAGCAAGCTGGTGGTCTCCAGGCCAGCGTAGTCCTCGGTGTCAGAGAGCTGCGTGGGAGGGGTGCTCTGTGCTGTTGCTGGCCCCAAGCCCTCCTCTTTCTCCTTCTCCTCCTCAGCAGAGAGTGCCTCGCTCTGCAGTTGAGGACAGCTGGTGGTCAGGCTCAGAGAAAGCAGGAGGGAGAGGGGGGGAAAAAGGAAAGGAAGGTCTATAAAGTATTTTCTCATTCAGATATACATTTTACCATAAAAAAACAGACACTTGCAGATTATAAATCCCTTAAAATTATACCTAACAATATACTTTTGCTGGTGAATCAAATTTACATCAAAGATCAGAAAGGTTATCTGATTTGAGTCATTAACACTCCCTCATTTAATCTTTTTTAGCATATGGCTTCAAATGGAGAGTAGGTTTACATTAGATATTAGGAAAAAATCCTTTATACTGAGTATAGTGTGGCACTGGAAAAGGTTTCCCAGAGAAGCTGTGACTGCCTCATCCCTGGAAGTCTTCAAGGCCAGGCTGGATGGGCTTGGAGCACCCTGGGCTAGTGGAAGGGGGTGGAATGAGTTCAAACCATTCTGTGATTCATTCTGTGATTCCAAAGACAGAGATCATTCATTTGTGCAAAAGACATAACCTCAAAAGACACTGGATATCTGGGTGTATAAAAGTTATCTCAGTGTCACTGATGTGCTGAAGGGATGAATGGGATTGTCCCTGCACCATCCTCAGTGGGGGCCAACACAGAAATATATTGGACAAGCAATTTCTTTTGCAATGTGGTGCTTAAACAGTCCTGAGGCTTTGATGGATTCCTTCCTAAGGGGGCATCTCTCAGGGAGCAAGCTGTGAAGACCTGTTGAGGACAGCTTGCCTTGGTGATTGGGTCCAGAAGGACACTGTATGATGGGAAGACGGAAAGGGAAGATACAGAAAATATATTTTCAAATTAAGAATTGTTGCATTGACCTGGAAAGGAATGGCTTTATAGAAGCAGGGGGCTTGACAGCAAACAGCCTGAAGAACAGCCACACTGGAGAGTTTGCTGTCTTTACCGTCCTGCCGGCTTTCACCACAGCGCTGTAATGCACCCGGCGCCTCCCCGTGCCTGGGACGGAGCAGTGGAGGGACACAGGCTACAAGCCCAGCAGTGACATTACCTGGCTGTGAAGATCAGCCACAACGACGGCAGGAGAGGAAGTCAGCCCAGGTTTGCTGAGGGGCTCCTGCTGGCCGCTGGCCTGGGGGCTGCTGTGGCTGCAGCCCGGCTGCTGCGGCGGGTCCACGGCACCCGCTGGGGGTGCCTCAGGCTGGGCCTCAGTGAACGTCACAGACCGCTTCTGCTCCGCTGCAGGTGCAAAGCCCAGAAAATTCAGGGTTACAGTTCGGGAAGAAATACACAAGGAAAGAAGAGAGAGAATCCCTGCGGGTTTTACAACTAAGACAGGATTTGTGAGTCCTTCCATCTTTATAGAAGCTGTCTAATCTGCATCTAATCTAGAAGTCTTTTACCCTGGGTTTCCAATACAGCCACAGCAAGACTCTGGGATCTCTTGAAGTCTGACCAGCACACCTGTCCTTGTCATGGCTTGGTGAGAAAAATACCACCCATAACATCTTTCCATTCCAGAAGAATACACTGAGTTCAATTCCCATGTGATGCCCTCAAATAAAAAAGAAAAACTGATATGCAAAAAGATAAGAGAATTGCCCAAGGTTTTGCTGAAAATCTAAAAAAAAAGTGCAACAGATAACCCCTCATTCCTGCAGACTGAGTCCACTAGCCAGGAATAACAGAACAGTCTTTACTCAGTGTAAGACTGCTAGACTAAAAACTTAAGAGTAAAACTCATATTCCCATTCCTCCTTTTAATAATTTTTGTTAACTTTTGTGTTTCAAACATCTCCAGCAGTGGTGTTGCCCCATCACACTCCTGCTGAAATCCAGCAAGTTCACAAGTAACCTTTGCTATTGGAGATGTTTCCTCCAAAGCTCACTGCTCACTTCAGATGGTACAGAATACAGCCACCTGCTCAGCTTGGCAGTGCTGACTCCTGGAAACATACAGCACAGACTGAAACTGTCCTACATTCATTTCCATATACAGCCCTTAGAGCTCTGTACTGCTAAGCTTATGATGGGACCAGTCCTTCTTTCTGCTCCTCTCAATAGCATCTTCCAAACTTGCTCATCTGGAGGTTTTGGATGAGGTATCCTGACTAGAGGAAACCCATCCTATAAATTCTCCACAGCTCTTGGAAACAAGATCATTCATTGTCCATGTCCTGTTTGACCTTGAAAACCTCTGGAGAAACCATCAGAGTGGTTTGAGGGGGTGGATTTCTGATAGGATATCCATGCACTAGGAAAAAGTATAAAGCTGCTGGGACTTCACTTTAATGTAAGCTAGTAACAACCTACTACTCCTTTAAGCTAAAACACAGCATTTTCTACTTTCCAGTGTGAGTCTGGCTCTGGAAATGCAGCAGTGCCCTACCACAGGGTTTTGGCTTTGGCTGGATGCTCCGTCTCGTGGTTGAAAGACGAGCTCCGTGACGGCTCCGAGGTTCGGTTTGAGTCTTCTGACGGGACAGCAGCGGTCGTCGAAGCTAAACATTGGAACAGAGTTAGGCTGATGTATGGTCACATATTGCACAGCTTCTGCTCTGAAACAAGAGCACATCATCGCTGTCTGTACCTCTGATGTCCCCTCACTCTACTTTTAGCAGATATGTGTTTTAAAGTTTCCATGGCTCACACATTTCCTTCACATGAACTACTGGGCTTTGTGCTTTTTCAGTTTCAACACTGAATGTAATGCAGGGCAGGTTGTGTGACCACCATTTAATAATAGTAATAAGAAAAAAGCCTGCAGAGGACTGTGACATTCACATTCTCTGGATAGAGAGACATAATTCTGTCTCTCAGGATTTCTTGGAGAAGCACAGAGAGAAGAAGATAAAACAATCTTTATCTCTGCTCCTGTGCTTTCCCCATGTGGAATGTGGTGTGGAGATTGTTTACCTGAGGAATGTGGTATGGATATTGCTTACCTGCAGTGATTGCTGGGTTGGATTCTGGTGAAGGGTGTTTGGGTTCAGTGACCAATTGGATCCAGCTGTGGCTCGGACTCTCAGCAGAGAGTCATGGGTTTGAGTTAGGTGAGTAATATGTAGAATAGTACAGTATCTGTTTAAATAGTACATTCATGTAATATAGTATAGTTTTAATGAAGCTATCCTTCAGCCTTCTGATCTGGAGCCAGACATCAGCATTTCTTCCCTGCGCTGGGGTTCACTGCATTTTACTATAGAGGACAAAACTGAGGAACTGAAAACAAAGGGCAGCTCTTCTCTTAGGGATTTGCCTGGCTTCACACCTACGATTTGTGCTATGGCTCCTGCTAAGTCAAGGCACTGCCCTAGTATAGCAAAAATTAGGTAGAAGGGACACATCACATCCACACATCATGTCCAAACAGCCCCACACAAGAAAAGCCAAACCAAATCCCACAGCAGGAGAGAAGGTTTGTTACTGCCTGTGTCCTCACCTGCCGCAGGCCTCTCTTCCGCCCCAGGGGCTGCTGCAGGAGGAGGTTCTGCTGTCCTGGCTCGCTCTGCACACTTGCCACCCTGTGAGAGGTTGACAGCATTAGGCCAAGTACAGAAGCACGCTGCATAACTAGTAGGTGTCCTGGCAATTGGGACCGAAGTAAATAAATAAACAAGAGATTGACCAACCACTAATGGCACAGTCACTTCAAAGAGCAGCACTATCTTTGAAGGATGGGAGGGGACATGTCTATTGGGTTGTGGCTTCCGGGGCTTAGGAAAGGGTGGGAGGTGGAGTCATGGTATTCAGGACTTGGCCACGCACAGGTAGCATCCAAATATAAATAACTGCAGATTTCAGTTTTCAGTCATTGATTGATGCATCCCACTGAGCAGCACTCACTTCTCTGCATCCTTTGCCACATCAGTGAAGGCAGGAACATCACCTTCCTAGCTCAAAAGCCTTCTTGTTTGCTTTTCCTTTATTCAAGGATAATGTTGTAAAAGCCTCATTTTTTTCTTCCCAAATAAGACTCCATGGCCTCATCAAAATTTTGTCATCTTGTTTTAATTTCAATTTAAGTCAACAAACAAAAAACAAACGCAAAGTGACAAAGGATCCGTTCACATAATGGATGCATGAGTTATGTGAGCAAGGCCCCACACTCAACACTTGCAGCCTCAAGTCTTTTTGTGACTAACAAACAAAAGAGACAAGTAAACAAAAATTAGATAGACAGACAGACAGAGCTTTTTGGTTTTTAATATACTGGCACAAAATATCTGAAAACCTGCAGTAGAAGAAACTTTAGCAATAAAACATACTCGGCTATGTGCCATCTCATACTGCCATTCAACTGACCATTCAGCCTACTTAATAGAAAAATACCAACCTCCCCTCATTTTTATCAAAACACTGTATTCCTCCAAACACTGGACATATAGCAGTCACAAAACACTTTAATTGAGAGACTTATGACTACAGTAGTCACTAACAGTTAAGACAGAGTTCTTTTAACTCAGGCAGCTGCTTTTTTTAAGCCAGACTGGAATCCACTGAGCGACAGGTCCTATTTAGGCAACTTGCAGCTATAGCTGGTATATACAGTGTTCAAGATTCAGTATTGCAATCCATTTTGTCTTTGGCATGCATTAACCTAAAGGAAAACAACATTCTTTTCTCTAGATACATCCTTGGACCTCCCTGGAATTTGTCAGTACCCCCAAGAAAATGAAGGCTAATCATCTGACCATGCAGGGGTGGAGGAAGAAGACAAACCTAGGGACATGGTCAGACCAGACATGGAGGATAGCTGTGGAGAGGCTTGAAAAGCTTTGTCTTCTGAGCAGCTCATTCTTCACTTGGGCAGAATTTACCGATTGTCCTTACAAGGTTTGGCAGAACAGAACATGGAGGGTTTCCTGCTCTGCTTTGAGGCTGTTGGGGTTTAGGATTTTTCCTTTTGTTTCTTTCTCTAATGGAATTTTGTCCCATCTCTTGCTAAGAAACCATACAACCTATATGTACGAGAGACAAGAGAAGTTTCCTCTCTTAAATGAGAGTTTTCTCTTGGAGGGGCAGAGATGCCAGGCGAATTGGGCTGGGGGGAAGGGCCTGGCACGGCTCCTGGCTCTCTGGGTTTGGGAGGAGGACAGTGGGGCTGCTGCTTGGGGAGGGAATTCACTGCTGCTGCCAGAGCCCAGCCCTGCCCTGTTTTCTCCTACCCCAGCTGAGCATTTGCTTGTGAGAGCTGCCATTGAGCTGGGACCGCCACTGCTGGTGAGGGACAGTGCGGGCCCGCAGCGCCTTTGCCTGAAAGCCTCTTTTACCTTCTAACTTATAGTAACTTGGAGGGAGGGGATCGTATTTCCCATTCCAAGGGAAGTTCCTGCTTCCCTTGGCAGACACCTGTCTTTCAAACCAAGACAAAGTCTGGTTACCTGAACTGAAAGCCTTATTCCTTCTTGCCTTTCATTTAAACTAATGCCAGACTTTGCCCTGAATCATATCTGTGTGTTTCTACCACTTCTGCAGGGGAGACAGTGAGAAACTTCAAAGGAGAGAGACATCTTGGGACCCTGAAGCTGTTTATCTTTTGATTGACGGACTATAGCCTAATAATCCTGGGCATGCCCTCAGCAATCTCACCACAGCTGCAGTGCCTTGGAAAAAGAGGAAAAGCTTCAGCAAGCTCAAAGCCAAAAAAAACCCAAGATATATTTGAGTCCTTTTCTTCCTTAGATAGGTCTTCCAAATGAAGTCATTAATCCCTGGAACATATATCCCAGTTTTTCCATAGCATGTTGTCGTGCTTTACATACCAAGCATCCCAAACACCACACAAACACCTGCCTAGGGATAAGCAGAGCCCTTAGAGTTACCTCCTGTTAGTAGAGGTGTGTTCTTGACTCAGTGACTGCAGCACATATGACAGGTAAGTCCAAAAGCATCACATCATTATCATTCCTTATTAAAGCAATGAGACTGCACTTAAATTAGTCTTTGTATTTGTGACCCAGACTACCTGAAATTGCTTGGTGAATTTCCTTAATCTTCTGTTTGTAGGATTACATAAAAACTTATTCTTCTGAATTTCTAGAAGCTTTTACAGTGGTTACCACTATGTGAGTGAAGTAGGAATTAGCTGGAGAAGTGTTGGAACCCTAGAAAGAGCCTACTATTCCAACAGTTTCTTGCAAAAAAAATGTCTACTAGACTAGCTTGAAAAAACTGTTACGATTTTTGATGAAGGAACTCTTAGTTCTGTGAGGAAAGAGACATGACTGTAGCATAAAGACTGCAATTATATTCAATACAAAATGGTCTACAGTGCTGAAACAAACTCACTTCACGTGTGATATGAAAACACTTGAAAAAGTCCTTAGATAACAGGTAAACATGGACTGTGTGAGGGCACAGAGGCTATACATGAGATAAAAACTATTCCCATGCACTGAACACAAACAATAGGCAAGCAGAAAAAAAGCTGGACTTCGTGTCTTCCTGCTGGAGTCTGGGATTTTCAGCCTGGTTTATCACATAAGTGAAATGAGTTAGGTGACCTGGTGGATACTTGCTTCCAGTACTGAATCGTAACACAAATTGGTATAATCTGGGATGATCTTTCAAGCTAAAATTGCAGACACCTATTGCAGGGAAATGTTGGACCCAAGAACAGCTGAGTTGTGCAGAGCTGCCTGTGCACAACACAGTCCTGCTGTGGCTGGGGCTCTCTGTCCCCCCATTTTGAAGAAGGAAAGAGAGAAGGAGAATGATAAAGACTACAAATTGCAGACGAGTGACTGGATTTTCAGCTACACGCTTTCTCTTCATGAGGGCTTGTGAGGGTTTCTTTTCACATCAGAGAACAGAACTACCCATCTTGTTTCTGTGAAAAGGAGCATGGCAGCAGAGGGTTGGCTTTGTGCATCCTGCCCTCCCTCCTTTTCTGTCTCTCCTTGTTTATAGACCTAACCAGGAATACACTGTTTTTCTGACAGCCCGTGGAACCCAGCCAAGGAAACCAAATCAAGTGCCTTTTCAGCTGACAGTATATTTCCCCCACCCATGGCAATCTGATCTACAAGAACAGTTTTTCCAAAGGACATAAGCCACATTTATTTGGGCAATAAGAAAAAAGATTGTTTTTTTCCTGCCCAACACAGAGATGCACTGTCACTGAGTATCTCTGTTAGGAGTTTACTTGCACACTAATGTTACTCCCATAATATAGGGCAGAGGTGAGCCAAAGATCAAACCAACCCAAATTTATGAATACATGCTGCCAGCACTACAAGGAATGACAGACAGTGCAGTCACACAGTGGGGGCCAAACCAAACTTTGTTGGGTTGGCAAGTAAAAGAAGTGATGCTCAGGAATTACAAGAAAAACTAACCATGCAGGCAAAACCAGACAAACAAACAAACTCCCACCAAACAACAAAAACCCAAACATAAACAAAATCAACCAAACCAAACAGGACAAAGGAAGCAATGAGTTTCAATGTCTATTAGAGAGATGTACATGCTTGCTACTCCACCATGGTAGACACTTTGTGTCCCTAGACATACAGTTAGAGGGTTGGTGCACAAAGGCAGTGGAGAATGGGTTAAATATATTGTATTTCCAGATACATCCCAGCCCAGTTAGCATTAAATCTGCTGCTGCAATTGCCCTGGCAATGTGGATATAGTCTGATTTTTCCTGTTAGGAGCCATTAAGCTAGGATAGGCACAAACATTACAGAGAAATGTGTTTGTGCAACATATTTCCATTACAGTAGCTTCACCTTTTTCCTTTCTGATTTGGGAAAATATCCTGTCATCTCAGATTGTAACCACTACAGATCAAGATGCTCTTCAGCCCTGTACCCCAAGCTGAGCACTTCAGTGCTCTCCCCTTCCTGCCTTCCCCGCTTTTCTTCAAGGCTGTGTCTAATTGCTGTAGAACAATGGGAAACAGATTTTATTATTTTCGTATTTGTCACAATTTAATTTAAGACTCCTACCTTCCATAAGGGTCTAGTCCCTAGTGAATATTGTTTATTTCTTTATCTGAGTTATGACTAAACACCAGCTTGTGAATTCAGAAGGTGATCCTAAAAAGTTATCAGTGTGCACCAGCCAAAATCAAAGTTATATCAGAAAAACTCAAGCCTGCTTTATTCAGAACTGATGTTTTTGAATGTAAAAACAAATTAACTCTTCACTATAATCCCCATAGCACAATAAGCTTCTGCAACATCTGCTTTATTACTTCTGTCCTTTAGAGGAGGAATCCAATTTTCATATTTAACAATGCAGTTGAAACATCTTTCCATCCTCACAGAGATCTAACCTAACCATTTTAGATGTATTTGCAGTGTCTTCATTCCTTCTTAAGGCTTAGCAGCCCTGGTACCCATCCTTAAGACATAAATGCCTGCTTCTTGAAAAGGATAATAAACCTCAGCAGAACTGACTCCCAAGTGCATCTGCTCACCCATTTGCTTTATGAGATCTCTGTACCATAGAGCAGGGTGGAGGATAGTGTCCTGGTCCCTAGAGAAAATTTTGGTGACAGGAATGAATAGGAACCCACTCTGCAGCTGGTTACATTTCAGGGTTCAGAACAAATTATCATGTTTGAACACATTTATTGACTTAGGTGTCTCATAGTGCTTAGCCTTACCATTGTAATTAGGAGTGGCTACCCATTACTTAACAAGATCAAAACATTTCAAAACCAGCACTGATGTAACCAAGTATCAGGTTATTATGACCTTAGCTCAGATACAGACCTTCCCCTTTATCCTCTTAAAAGACTGTAGTGAGTTTTTAGTGCTGCTAAAAGGGAAGTTCTTTGATTTTTCTTCACCTCTTTAGCTCAGACCATGCAGTCAGTCCACCTCTCTTTGTCAAAAAACCAGGTAACAGTACTCCTGCCTCTGCCAAGGAGCTGCTGTCTTTTCCTGACCCATCACAGATCCGTCTGCCAGAGCAGGGCTCACACACACAAAGGACACCATGTTGCATGGAATGAACTCGGTGACAGCACTGATGATAAACTCTCCTTCTGTCAGCTCAGGAGAGCGAACAAACAGACACAGCAGCCTGTCCCCATCCCAAAAAGCCACTACCAGCATGAAAACCCAAGCTAATGGAACAGCAACCATCCACACAAACGCCTCTCAACATATCCACAGCTTCCACTGGTGCAGGGATGAAATAGCAAGTTACCCTCTGTGTTGCCAATGTACAGGGCTGTGTTCTCCTGGGAGGAGACAGGGATGCTCTTGGGACTAACAACAGCTCTCCAGCCTCAAGAGGATGGGTTGAGAGGCGGGAGCACAGCAGCAGGGCAGGAGAATGATTAACATGATCTGGGTGTTAAAGGTGCAGCCTTCCCTTTGAAGTTCACTCCTGACCCGTTTGTTTGCTCCCCTGTCTATGGGTAATGAGGAACAGCTAGACCTGAACTCCAGCACTGACAGAGCCATTTTAGATATGTATTTATAGTGTCCACCTGCAAGACTTCTAAGGTGTCATTTGAGAATTGAAAATGCTTTGAAAAATTAATGAGAATTATTGTAAAGCACCCACACAACACTATATTCCACAGGACTTACCATAATTAGTTTTATCAGTGAATGGTAAAAAACCTCAGATTGATATTAAGTCTTTTGTGGTGATAGCATTGTGAGATGAATGAAAAAAACAGATGTCTCCATTTTACATAAGCCATCAGACTAATGCTTATAATAGGATACAGCTAATGCCTCATGGATCATCTTTCTCATGCCTTTCTAGCAATTGTTAAACAAGGGGAAAACCTCAAGGCCAGCCTGCTGCTTCTTTCACTACAGCTTTTTCTTTCCCCTTCTCCTTAGCCTTCTCAAAGTTATTGGCAATCAAAGCTGAAAACTGAAGGTGGGTTGCTACATCTTTGACTTGCAGGCCTGAATATTGATGAGCCACAAGAGACAGAGATGGAGAGAGTGACAAAAGGTGAGGGGAAGAGACAGAAGGTTGGAAACAGCTCGTTTCCCAGCACACACACTGACAGACAGGTAGTGTTCACACTGTACCTAGAGAGGCTGCCCTCAGTGGCCAGGCTCGGGGAGTCATCGAGGACATTAGGTTCACTGCAGGAGGGGCAGGGAGATTAAGAATTTAGGGAAAGAAAATGCAAAAAAGCATGCGCTTGTCTCTGTTTGCAAGGGAAAAAAAAAATATCAACGGAATAAAAAAGGTAAAAAAAGGACGGTAACATTAATTGGTCTCACACGCTCAACGGCACATATGACTCAGAGGAGCTGAAAGAACATCTGGTAACAGGAGCTGTCTTTAGAGAGAGTTCACACTGCATGAAGCCTTCTACATCTCTGCTGAGATCTGGGGAGCTGAAAAGTTCAACAGGATGTTTTTCTAAAAGAAATAAGGCAGGGAACTGTTTCCAAAGCTATTTTCCTGCAGCATTTTGATTTATTTCATTTCTATTTACTTTCAGCTTCATAGAAAGTCTTTTTCCTTCACCATGAGCCACTCCTTCCTTGAGGGAGGGCTGATCTATCTCCCATGAGGTGTAGACCACTCTCTTGGTGAACTCTAAGGATAAACATCTGGGAAACAAGGTCTTATAGTGCAATGAAACTGTAAATAAACAGCTGGCAAGGATCTTGGCAAAGGGACACAATTCCAATGCTTTTCTGCAATGCAGCCATCAGGCAGGAGCAGCCTGCTCAGGCCATAGGAAAAACATGAATGAAAGAAAGAAAGAAGGAAGGAAAGTAGTCTGCTGGGTTACCAGCAGGAAAGCAGTAATAATATTACTTAGCATTAATTAGCTCACATTTGTGAGGCAGTCTGAAAGCCCAGAGAACATCCATAACTCAAAGGGCATGATGTTGAGGACTATGATTATGCTTGCTGAGCTGGTCCTTCCCCTCCCCAGATGAAAAGTGATTCTCCTGCTATACCATACACTTAAAAATTAGAGAAGCTCTGTGTT